GATTTTGCAACTGGTGGTATTTTATCACAACAGCAGGAGGATGGTGTCTGGCGACCGGTTGCCTTCATTTCTCATGCTCTCAATGAGACTGAACGTAACTATGAAATCTATGACAAGGAGATGCTTGCAATCATGCATGCACTCTCTGAGTTTAGCCAGTACCTGCTAGGAGCGTTGGAGGACTTCGAGATCTGGACAGACCATAAGAATCTCGAATACTTCAAGAAGCCCCAGAAGCTGAACAGACGACAGGCGCGGTGGGTGGTGGAGATGCAGGAGTTTCACTTCACTCTACATCACAAGCCAGGCAAGGCAATGGCTAAAGCAGACTATCTCTCGAGACGAGCAGGTCATGAGAAGGGGGTGAATGACAACGAGAACGTAGTCCTGCTGAAGCCAGAGTTTTTCCGAGTTCATCATCATGATATCAGCGCCCTCAGCGATGAGATCATGACTCGGATTAAGCGCGCTTGGCAGCACAAAGACAAGCTTGTTGAGCGCGCTTTGGCCAACAAGGAGAAGGATTGGGAGGAGCTGGATGGGCATATTGTGACCTGGAAGCACCGGTTCTATGTTCCTCGAGACAAGAAGCTGCGGGAAGACCTCATCCGCTGGCATCATGACACTAGTCTCGCAGGACACCCCGGACGTTTCAAAACTCAGGAGCTGATCACTCAGAACTACTGGTGGCCGTGTTTGCAGACAGATATTCGTTCTTATGTAGAAGGGTGCCAGACTTGCCAAAAGACTAAACCAAGAAGAATGGCACCCCCTGCACCTCTGTCTCCGAACACGGTACCCACGCGACCCTGGCAGATCGTCACTGTTGATCTGCTAGGCCCGCTTCTGATGTCGAATGGTTATGACATGATTCTGGTGTTTGTTGATCGATACACAAAGCGTGCCAAGTTCCAAGCATGCAATGTTGAGATCAACTCAATGGGCTTTGCCAAACACTACCGGGATTGTGTTTTCCGTGACCATGGGCTCTCTGAGCGGTTGATCCATGACCGAGGTCCACAGTTTGCTTCTCAGTTCAGTAGGGACTTGTGCAAGCTTTTGGGCATTAAGCAGAACATCACGACTGCATATCACCCTCAGACCGATGGGCAGACCGAGCGAGTCAATCAGGACTTGGAGCAGTTCCTCAGGATCTTTGTTAATCATCGTCAGAGCGACTGGGCAGAATGGCTTGCCATTGCTGAGTTTAGCTACAACGACAAGATCCACACTGCTACTGGTCACACTCCGTTCTTCCTTGACTCTGGACAACACCCATGGAAAGGAATTGAGCCCAGAGGTACTGTGCGCACTCAGAGTGCCCAAGAGTTTGCAGACAGCATGAAGAAGATCAGGGAGGAAGCAGAGTCGTCTCTTAAAGCAGCTGCAGAGACGATGAAGCGGTTCTATGATCGGAAGCGTACGGATGCCAGAGAATACAAGGTCAGGGACATGGTCTATCTCGAAGGCACCAACATCGAGACAGTCCGTCCGACCAAGAAATTCGATGACAAACGCTATGGTCGTTTCAAAGTCTTGCAGAAGATTGGCACTTTGGCCTATCGTCTGCAACTGCCTGCTTCCTGGAAGTCCAAACACCCTGTCTTCAATGAGGCTCTGTTGTCTCCTTACATCCCTCCCAAATTCCCCTCTCAGAAAAAGACCCCTCCGCCCCCGCCTGAGCTTGTTGATGATCACCTGGAGTATGAAGTGGAAGAAGTGTTGGATTCGAGGCTTAGGAGTGGAAAGCTCGAATATTTTGTGCATTGGGAAGGATACCCAAAGGAGGAAGACAGTTGGGAGCCAGTTGGCAACTTGACAGATAATGCCGGCCTGCTTGATGAGTTCCACTGAAAACACCCCTCAGCCCCTCGCCCCCTACCCCGAAACGTCCGTTTTATTTATAAACCCATTGAAAACTTCACCACCACACCTCGTTTGCCTGGACATCTCTACAACTGGGAGAATGGGAAGATTGAATCCTTCCGACCCATTGTGTGGACACAATCCTTAAGGGGGTAATGTCATGAACAGATCGCTTATCGGACCTGATCCGGGCTTATCTGGCCTTATCGGAGCTGATCTGCGCTTATCTGGGCCTTATCGGACTCCATCTACTGTCAGACTCCTTATCCTGCACTGTAGATAGCGTATATAGACGATACTTATCATTGATAAGGACACTTCCATATTTGTTTAGGACACTCCCATACTTATCAGATCGTTCCCATGTCACCCACTAGTATATATACACCCCTGTAGTCGTTGTAGTCTCCAGTCTTGAGCTGGTCATATCTCCACTAGCAATATAGGCAATCCTTGTCCTTTTGAGCACAACTTGGTCCACTTTGCATTGCCTGCATAGTATTGGCCAGTGTGTCTGACAGGGAGGGAGAGTGACGCTGTAGGAGTTGGTGTGCGCATCGGCGGCGGCGAACATGGCTGGGGTGGGGCCGGTGCTGGCTTTAACATGCGAGGAAGCATACACGTTGGCTGAGCTGGTGCTGATGTTAACGTACGCGTTGGCTGGGACGTTAGCGTGTGCGGCGTCATTTGCGTTGCCTGGGGCGGGGCCGGTGCTGATGTGCGCGGAGGCGTCTGTGTACGCGCTGACAGAGCCGGTGTGGATGTGGGGGGACGTGTTGGCTGGGCGTTAACGTGGGCGGGTGTCTCAGCATGCTGCTGCTGTGTTCGGGCGTAGGGGTGGTATCTGTGAGACGTGGTGCGGAGTGTGTGATCGGCGGGCATCTGTCGTGTGGTGGGTAGCTGGTGGCAGAAGTGAGGGTGGAACTTGCTAGTGGCGGTTAAGTGAGCATTGAAGTTGCTTGTGGTGGTTTGGAAGAAAGCTTCGTTTGATTCCAAACAAATCAGGGAGGGCTTTAAATACCTCTTGACTCCCGCGATGAGGCGAATTTGTAGTCGCTACAGGAGGTTGTAATATAAGGTATTATTTTCGCGTCCTTTGCTTTCGACGAACCCGTGACGGCGTCTAAGATCTGATGAAAAGGGAGTAGTGGCATCTTTAAATGAAGGCACATTTGAGCGCACGAGAGCGTTGAATCTCATGGGTAGTTTGTGCTCATATGTGCGTTGGATGTGCTCAGAGGTGCGTCCCGTAATTGATCCCCATAAATGATCGTAATAATACAATTCTGGTCGCTACTCGCCCCCCACCGCCCCGCTGATCTGCCGCTGCCCCGCCACTGCCGACCACCGCTGAACTCCCGCCCCAGCATCATCGGCGCCGTGTAGTCGCGTTCGGAGAAGTCCATGGGGAACTCATGAGTGTACACCAAATAATTCTGGGGATGCCTGTATGTCGGAAGCCGCTCTGTATGGTTGGACTACACAAAGGATATTAGCGAAGGTCGCAGGGGAAGGGGAGTGGACTTACTTGTGACGTATACAAGGGACGCCTGCGGTGGAGAATAAGAAAGACTGAACAAGTACGGCGAAGCACCAAATGCAAGCATGCCTATCTACAGGCGGATGGGCGCGAGTCTTCCGGGAAGTGGACGCCCTCATGAGGCGGGCAGGAGAAGCTGAAGCAAGCGACAAACAGACACACCGTATCCTCCATTCGAGGCGTGTAGCTGTTGGTGAGATTAAGAAGAGCGGATAAAGCACAGGGAGACCCACTGATCATGTGTCCGCGCGGAGAACCTTTAACGCGAACGCCGTGCGCATACGCAAGGGTCGGAGAGCATTTCTCGACTTGCACGTCGCGTCAAGTGTCGAAATCCAGCCAAGCTTTGAGGGCGTGCATGGAAGGCAGGAGCACGGTGTCGGGGAGCAGCAGAGTATAGAAGAGGGCACAAGGCCGTCGCTGCGGGAGGAGGGAGCACGGTGGTGAGAAGGGCGGGAGTGTAGCGCCGAGTTAGCGGAAGGGCGTCGACAATGGAGAGTACGGTGTTGGTGACGGGGAGGGCGGTGTCGAGGAGGGAGAAGGTGACGTCGAGGAGATGGTGGTGGTACGAGAACAAGGGGCATTTCAAAGTCCGACACACGTTTCCGTGCTGATGCGATGTACGGCAGCCCGAATGCGCTGAAGCTCTGTAGCACTGAAAAACCACTTGATAGGTGAGCAGATTTGGATTTGAGTAACGTTGAGCCGGCAGATTAGAACACATAGACCACATTTAGGCCGATGTGAGCATATTAAAGCACACGTGTTCTCACCGGGGGTTCGACTCCGTCGTGTGTGAAAAAGTTTATCAATGTTTTTTTGGGCCTGTACTGAAAAGGTGACAAGATTGGGTTTGAAAATTCTGTAATGTGGCCAAGGAGACCGAGAGGTTAGGCGTGCGATAAGCTTGTATTTATCTGTAAACAAGATTGTCGCGCTACTCGGGTTCGACTCCTGCCCGGGGCATATGCCTAGAATATTTTGACTTTTTCTTTTTTTTTTGTTTCGGCGGTGAGAAAGGTTATCTAAAGAGATTTAATGAAAATTTGCGGTGGACATGTCGTTTAGAAGGATAGGGAAATTGCTATTGAGACTGGGCCAAAAGAATTGGGTTGCTCTAGTGGTGTTGTCTGCATTCACAGGAAAGCTGCAGTAACCGGGTGCTTGACTTTATATGAACAGGCGAATCCCAATCCAAGTCACTTTATGTGGGTTGGACTCCCACCTGCGGCGTTGATAGTAGCGGAAGAATTTTTATTTGTTGAACAGGACATGTGTTCTATATACCGTGCTGTCAAGTGCTTGTGGCGCTTTCAGCAAAGCCTCAGTGACCAACAGGGTCTATGCGGGTTCGATTCCTGCATGAGGGCTTATTGGCAAATCCTCGGTACTTTTTAAAAGGGAGGGGGACTACTGGATAAATTTTACCAAATAGCCCCAAAAAGGTGGGGTTGGTTTCCTAGTGCTCATAAGACAATGTGGCTTGGCTTTTTGTAAAGTACGGTAGCTACTAGCAGTTTTTATTGGTGGTCCAAATTGTTGTGAGTAACTCTGCTGGCAGGACTTGGGGGACACAGGTCTACCTTGTAGAGTAGCCACAGTGACCGAGAGGTCAAGTGTGCGATCAGCTTCTACACAGTTGTTGCAAATTTACTCGGGTTCGATTCCCGCCTGTGGCATCCCAATTGTGCATTCTGCTTTTTTTTTTGATTTGTTCATGTTCAAAACGCATGTTTGAGGGAGACTTTGTTTGTTCGTCTCAAGTTTTTGTTTGTTCCCGCTGAAACCTCTTGGGACTTTTTGTTTGACCAGCGCTATGACCGAGTGGTTGGAGACGAAAGCCATTTTCTCCTTGCAAAACCATGGTGGATCAGGTCTTGGGTGATAAGGTCCCAACACTTCAAATGGCCAGCGTCACGGAACGGTTAGCTGCAAGACTAATTTGATGGTCTGCAGGGTTCGACTCCCGTCTCAGGACATGTTTTTATTTGCTCCATTTCAAACGTTTATTTGTTCGTTCCGCGCAAGACTGTAATAACAATACCGTTAATAACATTTCTCACATGAGAAGCCAAAGGCTGCTTGGTAAGACTATGGCCGAGTGGTTTGTAGACCGACAATACTATGGCCGACCGTGACAGGGTTCGCACAAAAAACGTCTCCGGGTTTCGTACCAGTTCAACAGGACAGGGGTGTGGGTTCGAATCCCACTCTAATCAGTTTTTTTAGTCACTTTTAAAGAATATTGACATAATTTTAAGATGAGAGTGGAGCGGAGAGGTCGGAGAAGGAACAAAAATGAGGATCAGCAGTACCATAAAGGTTGTGGGCAAATTATTATATCATTTTTTGGAACATTTAAGATAATGAAATTCTGTCTGCAGAAGCATTCCAAAAGTCATCCGCTGGGTCTAATAGATAAATCTAGTTAATGCTAGGAAGTTGTCCAGGGAGGAAATGCCATCTATTATGCAAAAGACATGGATCATGTGATCTTTGTCTCGAGACAAATGCTGAGACAAATATTGGAGACAAATAATGGCAATCAGATGGCTGTGCCCTCTCCCACGTCTTTCCTCCTATACTCGCTCTTTGACTCTGTTGGGGTAATATAAATCAGATCACTGGATGCACATACATGGACATCTCTGATTTTGTTTCCAGGTGCAATGGGCTCAAAAAAGTGATTAATAAACTACTCTCATCTTTTTCAAGAGCCAGTGCTGAGACTGAATGTCCTCCAACTAGATTCTTGACTGATTTTGAATGTGTTACATCTGACTCAATAAAAGTAATGCCCCGCAGGTGTGGGAACAATATTCTTATGGATTCATATTTATGTTGTGCAGGTCATGCCAGATGATTGCCCACAGGTGTGAGTTATTTATTCAGCTGCTGCATTTTCCATCGATTTCAGCTACTGGCCTATTTGGGATGATACATAGTGCCTCAGGTCATCACTGATTGTTGAAGTTGTTTAATAGGGACCTTCAAAGCTCAGATTTCGAGCTCAACTTCATTTCATTTTCATTTCATCTCATCTGGGATCCCTGAACATAACCTTGGCAAGAGCTCCATTTTGGCAATACTGTACTATTTCGACCAAGTCTTCAGGTAACGCGTGACACGGCCCTCTGAACTGAAGACTTGAGGTACTGGTGACGGTGACATCGCATTTTCTGAGCCCAATTAGGCCAAAAAACATCAAAAAAACTCGCTCCGGCATTCGCTGGATACCCATATATGGTAATTTTTCCATGATTGCTGAGGAATGAAGACTTAGGAAAATGAAGACCTTAGGTGATGCGTGACATGGCCTGAAGACTTGGTCGAAATAGTACAGTATACTTGGGACCAACGGAACATGGAACATGTAGCATGCACGCCGTGCAAAAGTGACACCTGACTCAATCTCCCTTGACATACCAAACCCAAGCCAAAGCTGCCGAAATCTCATTTTGCTCATTTTTGACATCAGGATCAGAGTTGATTTTTCATTTTGGGCACTCGAGGAATAAATTAAAAAATGGTGTTGAAATGAGCTTGAAATCTGAGCTTTGAAGGTCCCGTCCTCATCAGTGGCTCTTGGACCTAAAATACAGATGCGGGCTGATAACGACTCACTTCTGTGACCCTGGTAGATACCTACAGCTTCTTTACACTAAGTGAATGAAATAAATGTCCAATGGGTTTTCAGACATTTCTCGACCACCACTGAAGATTTTGACCCAAACTAAGATACCAGATAGATTAGATATCCTACTTCGACGTTACTAGCATATTGATCAGATCAAATAAATTGATGTGCCATCAGACTGGTCCAAACAAGAAATCCAGCATTTTTCAACTCAATCAGTAATTTTTTCTGGGAATATTTAAATCAGCCAAATCGTAGCCTAGGATGATCTAATGACTTTGTCTGTTTGTATCATGCAAAAATATACAGAGGATAATGCACTACATCAGCTGCAAAGTGGGCAAAAACAACAGAATTTGGCTTGTGATGACCCCCAAAAGCACGCCCACATTTCTTGCCATCTCAGGAAATAAAGGTATTTACTCCCCATCTTGATTTGTTTGCAAACAAACAAAGCTTAATATTCTTATCCCAAACCACCACCATCTCCAGCAAGTGTTACCAGAGCCCCTTCTGCACCCACTGACCCCCTCTTCCAGATGCTGGCTGTCTGCTACACACACACAATCTATCATCGTTTTAGGCCCTGCGCAAGAAACAGGCACCCCCGTCTCAATTCCACACGCAATGGCCTAACTACAGCTAACTCCACTCTGCGAGTCCTCCAGCCGCTGCCCCAGTGAACATGAATGTGTACTCCACAACTGCTCAAGTCACCATTGGGCACGCCGCAGTGAACGGAAACATCAGACCCAACGTCTACACGAACGTAGTCGTGAATCCGGCCACCGCGTATGCGAATGTCACCGTGAATCCGCCCACCCTCTATGCTGTGACTGCGCAAGTCACCGTTGGGGATGCCACTGCAACTGCCCATGTCAGACCCACCATGACTGCCAACGTCACCATGAATCCGGCCACCGTGTATGCTAACGCTACTGCAAACGCCACTGTGGCCGCAGCGAACGCGCACGCACACTACCACTCAAGTTTCATCTCACATATGCAGCTGTTGTCCCTGCACTCAAAGTAGCACTGTGTCCCCGCTATTGTACCTTCGTTCACAGTACTATCTTTGTTCATACTACTATCCTTCAACCAGCGGGAATCCCAAGATCTGGTGCGAATGTTCCCGACTTCAACATTGAACAACAACAGAGCTGTGCCATGCAGTTGTCTCTGCGATGTTTCTCAAGATGCCCACTACCCTACTATAAGATTCCTCAATAAATCTTCATCGCATTTGACCTGGCTCTTAACTGAAAAACCCTTTGTTTTGACCATGTTCCTTGCTACAATGGACCCTCTTGGATGAATCCATTGTGAATTTCCACATACTTTTCAACGTGAAAGAATCTCACAACAAATATAGGAACATTCATGACATTATATGATGAACACGACATGTTTCATAGATATGCACAATGGGGCTACCAGATTCTTGCATGAAATCCTCACAAAACATTGTGCACCCTTGGACTCATGTCAGACTAGGTGGGACAGAGTAAGAGAGACTAGATTCATACTATCTTGAGACTGTGCCATCCAGAGTTTTCTGGACATTATGCAACGTCTCGCACGCCGAACGGACCACTCCGTGTTCTAGTACTATTTCACAAGTCAAACAACCGTGTGGGTGAATCACTAAATAGTCACCGATCTCTTTATGTCTTTTTTCAAAGTCCTCAAGAAGATTCATTGCCTGCTGTTCAAAACCGGCCTGGTTGTTTTTGACTAGATACAGCCCGTGTTCGACCCAAGCCACTATACAAGCGACCTGGTCTACCAGGTCGGAGCATATCTCTGAGAAACGTCTGAATAAATATGTGTTGTCCTTGAAGAGCGTACTTTCTTCAAACTCCCCTTCTTGACTCTCCGTTTCTCTGAGCAGTGTTTCGAACCCACTGATATCAGGCGTGGCACAAGCCTGTACAACTGCCCCTAGAATGTGGTGCAGCGGTTGGGACATCCCTAGTTGTTGAAAGAGGTTCAAATCCGAATTGTCTTCATCCACACGTGGAAATTTGTCACGTGCCAAATTTTGTTCCGACAGTCATGTTCACCTGCAAAATTACGCTCACTCCAGAGGCTGAGCAAGTGCTCAAGGCGCGCATTCCGGAAATGGCCTTGCGGATATCGGCAAACAAAATAAAAATTTTGGAAACCCAAAAAGAAATAGAAGAGACACGTCAAGCTACCGCTCAAATCGAACTCGAAATAGCAGATAGGACACTCGAACAAGAGCAACTGCAAGCTTCCATAGTGGAAGCAACATTGCAGCTGGAGCAATTGTGACTCCAGCGATCATACCTACCCAACGAACCCCCAGACCTTCCGCCTGCTTCTCCAACGAAGTTAGATCAAGTCTCACCCACTAGCACAACCATCCCTGCGACCAGAGGTAAGCATCCAAATCTCTTCACTATCTGCATCACACTAGTGAATAGATAGCCCACAAGTTGGCTCCAAAAGAACTCATCGTCCTACGCCGTCTTCAGCAGGGTCATCCCCCAAAAAGATTGGAGCGAGTAAATCGCTGTTGAAAAAACAGAGAGGTGAGGCCCAAAATATCATTCATCTCCTAGCATTCATGGCCTATACAGCTATAATGATCCCACCTCTGCCCCCGCGTTCCAGTAGGTCCCTGATCTGACCCCTCGCTCACTATCTCATGGTGGTTGGTTAGACATATCGACCGCTCTCCCTAGCAAGTCTTCTGCTAGTAGCAAGACTCAACGCCTGCTGGTCCTTTCTACTCCCAGGCAGCCAATGGTCGCACCACCTGTTATTGCTCAGTCCCCGACTCCATGGGATACCCGACTCTCCACCTCCAGTCCTCTCGCCAAGTCCATGCTGGCCCCACCCTCGAAGAAAATGATAGAGACTACCGGGGCGATGATTGCGCTGAGAGTGTCCAAGGGAAACTTTCCAGCAATGCAGTCCATCCCGTCCATCCCCCCCAAAACCTCCTCGGTCTTGCTCCAGGCCAGCTCTCGAGCATCCATCGTACAGAAGCCCCGAGTATCCACTGCCGTAGCACCC